GTTTTTATTAAAACGCAATATTCAATAGAATTTTCTCAGCCTTTGGTAGCCACGGTTCATGCATTATTGAAAGGGTTCGCTGTATTTCCGAACGTTTATTTTGTACTTGGAATTTTTTTCAAATTGGAAACAGCTGTAGTTGTTAAATTGCTCGGAACGAATGGAAATTTGGAAATTATTCAGAGCAGAGAGAGAATAGTGTTGGTAATGTTTTTGTAGTTTAAATACGAGAAAGTTTAAGTTCCGGTAGGTTCGAGGATATTTCAAGTTCTAGTATACATGAGTAGATTATCCTGATTTCCCAAAATTGAATTTTTTAACAAGATAGAGGTTTTCCAGGTAGCTTTAGTGACGAATTCACCGGAAGGTCCAGGATGAAACTAATCTCTCTCTCTCCTTTTCAACTTCTTTTTCCACGTATCCTCTGCTTCTTTCGTCCTTTCATCACCAAACCTCCGCAAAATCATTTCAATCTCAAGCGTAGTAGAACTGACCTAATACGATGAAAGACACTTTGCTTTAGAAATGGAGTTTTGTAATTGATCCGCTGACTAATTAAAATCTGATTAACTGAGCAGTGATCCGGAATATGAACATGTGTACTTAACCCTTTGGCTGCCATAAGCGCTCTAAGCTATAAGGGATACTATAAGCGCTCTAAGCTATAAGGGATACTATAAGCGCTCTTCATATTCACATTCTATATTTTATTTATTTTACAAATATCAAATACAAAATATTCTGCAAAAAAGTGATATGCATACAGGATATTTCAAAACATGTGGGCATAACTTCAGCGATGGATTCACTCTGTTAATTGCGTTTTTTAATTGTTCACAAGTAAAACGCTTCTTATCTCGTACACGACTTTCCGGTCTGCTATGTAAACACTGTTTTGTCATTTGTTTCGTTCAGTTTAATACATGTTCTTGGTGGCAACAGCACGTATGGGAAATTTGCTGATACATTTCATAATAATTTCATAATTCCATAACAAACTCAGTGATGGTTGATACGACGTTTGGAAGCCTGCATTCTAGCCGAGAGTGGCCACTTCGAACTATGAAAATTATTAAACAACAGGTGTCATACGAGAAGGGCTATAATTCGGAGGTTTTTCTAGATTTTATCAGTGTCAGCGTTTGCGGTTGATCGTTCGTGCTTTGCCGGTTTTTGCACGTGTGTGCCGACTAATGTTCTAGGGCTTCGAAGGACCAGTTTCTTGATTGAAACACTAAGTTTTTATTTTATGTTCTATTTTCTCCAACTAATTCAAGGTATAAATTCTATTGCAAAGTGAGAGGTGCTTCTCTTGCGAGTGGCCAAGTGTTTCTGCTGGAGTCTCCGCGGTGTCCCTCGAAGAAGACTCCTATTTTCCTAAAAACACCCTGATTGGTGATTTTTCCTTTTCTAAATCACCAATCAGTTTACTCCGGTGCATCGCAACCTCCCTCGATTTCGCCCTTAGCGCGTTATCTTAGGGTGAGGTAGACAACGACCGAAGAAAGTGTTCGGTGGATGGACGCGTGGGAATCCTGTGGAATCTCCGCTTTTCTAGGCTTTGTTGAAGTCAAGTGGCCCATCGACGTTGGCAAAAGTCGTGGGCCACTTTTCTATTTCCCGTTCGGAGACTCCAGGATTTATGGCAGGGTCTGGTCCTAGGGACTAAGTGTCGCAGGCAACGCAATAAACACTTGTGGTGTTTTGAGAAAGCGATATTTGCCTGCGACGGCGACCACTTGACTCGTTGCCATAAATCCGGCTAACACCTACATATTTTGAAAACTGCCAGCAGTCAAAGAGTTAGCAAGAGCGAACCAGTGTGTCCTCAGACCTCGAACGAAGCTAACTGCAATGTCTTCGAACCGTTTGGAAACTAGACACAGTCTCAACCAATGAAAACTTTAAAAATCGAACTAACTAAGAAGATCGAAACTCCACAAAATTTAATTCCTCCTCCTGCTTCGGAAAAACGAAAGTAGATCAGATAGGAGGAATTAAAAGGTAGGAAACTAGTTTGCGCGCTATTTGACGTGGAACAGCAGAAACCTCTGGGAGTTTCGTTATCTCTAGTCCGGTGGATTCGCCTTATCATCGGTCCAGCCGTTCTTCCGTCGTTCCAGCCGCAGTTTCTCGTCATAGTCGGGGTCAAACCTCGACAAGTTTGCCCTGTCTTGCACAGCGAAGACTCTGCAACTTGAGATAGAGTCGCCGATTCTCGATCGACTCCAAGTGGCACTCGCTGCGAGCTGGCTGCTTCCTTCGGTCTTCGAGAAAGCGCGATAATCCGGCCAAACTTTCGTTCGACGAGGACGTCAGCCTCGATGGAGGGAAATAGAAGAGCAGGGAAGTGGGTTCGAGGAGGGAAGATAGAGGGAAGGGTGAAAGGGGCCACGTAGAAATTGAATCTATTATTCCGGAGGCTCGACGATGGAACGTTGAAGCGAATGGATCGGTGATCCTCGAAAGTTCACCTCGTTCTTTTATATTGCATCGTTACACTATTTTCTTGGCGAAACCGGCGAGAGGGCTTTCTCCTGTCTCTCCCGCGATCGTTCCACGCGTTTCGCTGGAAGTGTACATTTGCTGGATTATCGTTCGATTGTTTCTGTTTCGTGGGACAGACGGCTGCTTGATATTACGGTTAGACAAGTTTATTCTCCGTTAAAAATAAAAATGACGAACTTGATAGTGGCAATTTTTGAGAAAATTAGAGTCTAAGTTCGCCTTTGCATTATTTTACATTTTTTGCGTTTCCAGCGTGATTACTTATAGCACGAATTTTTTTAATAATGAAGCGACACTACCGTAGTGTATGTTTGTTAATTATCTCGTGAGGCAGTTACCACAAAATTGGTGAATAATAAAATTTATTAAAACGCCACACAGTTTAGATATCTTTGTTTCATTTGAACGCGGGTAATTAAAGTAACGGTATAATCTTTGTGAAATTTTAGGTTACAGTAGTTTTTCAAAATAACTTAAATTTATTCAATATTCGAATATTTTCGACGATCGCGAAATTTGTGGTGGAACGAAAAGAAAAGGAGAGAGAGAGAGATGGAAAATTTCACGATAACACGACCGAGCATTAATTCCTGCGAAGGCTGCCTACTTGTAGAAGGTGCCTAGCTGTGTTGATAAACCAGCGCCGCGATTGCGTCGAGTCGTGTTCAGTTGTTCGACAGATAGCGAGCGCGAAACACGTCCAAAATGTGTTGGGAAGTACTCGGGTATGCGCGGAATGACTGTGAAAGTAGTGGAAAATTGCGACGCTACTTGCATCGTTAGTGCATATCATTTCTTTTGCTTGACACAATTGACGTAATTAGGCTTTAGTACTTGTGTCTGAATAAACCTGAGAAGAACAATTCGTGACATCGTTTCTTTGTTATTTTTATTCGCGGAAAATTAAGCGATATTTTGCCAATATTAAAAAATTATTTTCTTAATATTTCATTCCCTTTGTTGTGGTTCGTGACGTCGCTTTCTCATTATTTTTGTACGTGGAAAATTAAGATGATATTTTATCAATATTAACAAATTATTTTCTTAATATTTCATTCTCTCTGTTATGGTTCGTGACACCGCCTTTTTATTAACTTTTAAAGGTCCAATCTTCGCATTATTTTATTTCTACAATAATATTTTAATAATTAACAAAAATTCAACTCTCGTCTGAAATCAAAGAGAATTTCAAGAGAAGTCTTTGAAATATCACCGATATAAATAGTAACTTACAAATGTCCATAATTTATTGCACGCTATGTATTAGTTGCACCATTCGTGGCAGAAGGTACTTTCGATATATTGGATTCACAATGCGTGAACCACGTTGTGATATATGAGCCTGAGTGAATGCATATTAGAGGAAGCAATCTTTCATTTATCGAGCAAAGGAAGATTATTGTACGCGAGAAAGGGGAAAATTGAACGTGTTAGGTCGATAGGTGGGTAACGTAGCATTAAAAGGAGATCACCGATTTCCCTCGAAATTTCCATTCCATCTCGAACATAATATGTTAAGGCCGAAAGTAGGTGTGATTTGTCTACTCAAAGATATGACAGCTCCTTTCGTGCTGGAAATCTTTCTCTCGTAAGCTTCGAGTAACATTTCTGCCGTGAATATATGGTAGGTGTAGTTTAACGAAGAAAATATCGTTCTTAGAATCATTCTTGGAAAATTATCGTTGATATTGCTAGAGACTAAAATTTTGCTAGAATATTTTTATTTGTTGTATTAACAATTTTAGGAGAAATAATATATGCAGGATTATTTACAAAATAAATGAGTAAATGTCAAAGTTAGTGTCATTTTATTTTTGAAAAATTTTGTCGAACAGTGAACACTATAAAAGTAGAAATATTCCACTTCTCAGGTAACAGTTTCACAGTGATCGTTTTAATTCCATAATTTTTTATTCCCGAAAAAGAAAATCAAAAGAGTAGAATGATTGGAACATATTCGTACATCATCTAGACTTTTACTGGAACTCGTAAAATAGCTGTATCATAAATTTAAATAATCACTGAATATTTTAGATTACATTAGAAATTATTATAAGAAAATTCTTATATTATTCCAATTTTCAGAATATTCTATAAAAGATATTCCATTAAGGATATTCTAATTTACCGAATAAAATGTTATAAATGTTAGGCTCGATTAACTCATTAAGAATATCACAAAGGATATTCTAATTTACTCGTTAACCTGTCGAAAAGTGCGATTGAAGGATAAATGCGCGGTTCGTTTGAAAAAGCCGCGGCGTATCCAATTTCGTAATAAGTCACGTAAGAGGCTCTTCTCCTCGGTCGCCGACGAAGAAAGACGGGTCGATCGATCGAATTTATTCAAGGAACAGTCGAGTCACGGGGAAAATAGCGAAGGACGGGCTTTGCCCGCTAACAAATAATAGATCGCGTTGCGATGATCGAGAGGACCATTTATCTTCGGTGAATCACGGAACGAGAGGAAAGAATAATGACAAAACGCTTACCTTCCCGGAGACCCTTGAGTTGCATAAGAGAACGCCGGCAGCGTGAATTCTGTACTCCTTGTCGAGCTGCTCATGCTGTCCTTGAATTTTCCTGCCGCAAAGTGAACGGAAAATGTCGCGTTAGATGGATCTATTGTTTATCAACGTGGCAAGAAAGATCGCTTGCGCGATAATTGGGGAAAAGGAATATTTTCTGAAATCGAGGCGGGAAGAATTTTTGTAATTGTGATAAATTTATCGATATTCTGAATTTTGCAAAGAATTGAGTTCGATATTCCGAATTTTGCAAAGAATTAAGTTCGATATTCCGAATTTTGCAGAGAATTAAGTTCGATATTCTGAATTTTGCAAAGAATTGAGTTCGATATTCCGAATTTTGCAAAGAATTAAGTTCGATATTCCGAATTTTGCAGAGAATTAAGTTCGATATTCTGAATTTTGCAAAAAATTGAGTTCGATATTCCGAATTTTGCAGAGAATTAAGTTCGATATTCTGAATTTTGCAAAGAATTGAGTTCGATATTCCGAATTTTGCAGAGAATTAAGTTCGATATTCTGAATTTTGCAAGAAATTAATTTCAACATTCTGAAGTTTGCAAAGAATTAAATTCGTGTACACAGTTAACATGACAGCACAATATACAAAATAAGGTAATGAATAACAGACAAGGAAGGCACGAAAGAATTCAAATGATTTCCTAAAAATTTTAATTTAAAAGTTCAGTACTTAAAAAGTGAAATAAAATTCTGAAAATAACAGAAACTAGGATAGTTGCTTGCACTTAAAACTAATTAGAACACCAGTACAGATACGAAAAGGCGAAAAAGAAGTAAAAGAAGGGTCAATAAAAATGAAACAGAGAAATTGCACACAACTGCTGTTAACAAATAACAAGGAAAATGCTATTTTTATTTAACTTCCACAGTTGGTGTACTAAATTTTAAGTTACACCAATCCTTTAACTTTAAGGAACATAGCAATCCGAAGATACAGAATCACATCAGAGGAGTTGTGTTTCCGAAGACATGTTTCATTTTCGCGAACATCTCAGCCGGGGCGTAAAGTTCACGAAAACTCCTTCTTGGGAACATAAACTTTAACCTGGTATTCCTCGATACTGTGACTTTTAAACTTCTCCGATGGAATACAGTTTTCTTGTGCTTCTTTTCGCCAATAGGAGCAACGAATCGTTAGTTGAAAATTTAAGTTAATGGAATGAAAAGATTTCACGGGAAATCTCTAACAAGTAGTATAAACTTTATAACGATATTCAGTGAAAATTGTTTTACCTCCACTCTTGATCAATTTAAAACGGAAAATTCAGCGAAGAATTTAACAAACTGCTGTATTTTGTAAGAATATTTTGCTTGGAATCAAGCTTTTACTATCGTGTAGCATAAATGTGAAATTAATTTACTTATCTACATATAAAATTAGTATTATTCTTTTTATAAGAAAAGGAAACCTCAGTACAAATCACTGAGTATCCTTGAAGCTCAAATATTTGGAGCTTTACAGGTGAAAAATACTCTCAATATTCTCTGCTCTTTATTGACCCTTTCGTTAACCCTTTGTGTCCCACTTGAATACGCCAATTGATCTCAGTTTAGCATTTTCATTTAGTATAGACAAAAAATAAATACTTAATACTCATCACTGAGCATTCTTAAAGCTCAGATATTTAGAGCTTCCCACCTGAAAAATTATTTAACCCTTTATTAACCATTTATGCCCCACTTAAATACTCCAACAAATATTGATCTCAATTTCGTATCCATTTCTCACTGTACGATCGATAGATAAATAACAAACTCTTAAAAAAAAAAGAAATACTTGGTTCACGAAAGGGTTAAAATATAAGCAAATGAAATCCGAACGAGACTCAATTACGTCTGAACAAAATTCGAACGTACACCGTGTATTATAATATCACTCGATCGTGTATAAAATTATTACCCGAACAAAATTACCATCGTTCCGCTTCTACGTTCTCGATTAATCATCGGCAACTTCAAAACCAATCTAACTCACTTTACCCATACATTTACCTAACATCTATCACTATCGTTTTACGATGCATCAACATGTGTCTCGATTTACCTCGTTGAATCTGACCCAAACAAAGTTGCCCGACTAAATACAAACATCTCGCTAAACGCGCGAGCTTAGAGAACAAGAAGCTCATTTGTAGTACGTAAACACACGGTTAATTCGCTTATTACCTCGCGTCGAATTTTCCACTTTATTCGCACCTTTTGGCAACTTCGAGCGAAGATTTCTCGATTTCGCGTTCAATTTCCGTTTCGAAGTTGTTTTTCCGATGGAGGTGGAAAATGGAAGGCGTTTAAAGTGGGTAAACGCGAGGGTGAAGAGAAAGAGAGGGAGAGAAAGGCTATGGTGAGCATGTTGGCGAATTTTTCCAAGTGACTACCACGGCCATCGTGATTTACGAATCGAGAAAGTTCCACGAATGGACGAACGTCCCCGCGGAAAGTTCGGCAATTACGCGCGGGCAAACAATCTTACAAATTCATGGCGTAAACCGGCCGTCGTTTCTTCCCCCGAATGCTCCAGGCTGGGCAAAGGGAAACCATCGGAATTGAATACGTTCTCTCTGTGTTGGTCTTTCGATGACTTTTCGTGCCTCTCGATTTCACGGATTTATTTCAATTGTTTGGGCCATGCCGGAGGAATTCGATTTTCACTTGAAATTTGGGGTTATTGTATTCTTCAGCTGGAATCTTTGAAGTTAAAGAGAAGTCAACAATTAGATTTTTTCTTGAAATTTGAGGTTATTTGAAAAGGACCAATTAGGTGAATAATTTTTCTAGCTGAAATCTTGAATGAAAAGGGAGTCAGAAATTATGCAGGAAAATGCTTCTTCGTACCTCCAACGCTCGAGGCTGTATAAAAGAAAATTGTCGAAATTGAATACAATCTCTTCGCCTTTTTTCACGCTCCTCAATTTCGTAGATCTGTTTGAATTATTTATGGTACACGTGTTACGTTAGATCCTCTATAAGCTTGCAATTCTTTCGAAAGAAATCGATTAAGTTATTATCAGAATTTGTAGCTGGAGTCTCTGATACGGAGAAGAATTGAAGGATTATGCGGAAGATAAGAATTTCAGTTATTTACGATGGAAGGGAAATTGAATCGAATAAAAGTTGAACGTAACTGTGATGGGAATAAAGATATTCAAAGGGAGAAAGTTTTTTCTGCTCCCTAGTTGTTAATAACTCATCTTGAAAAGTATGAAATTTTCATGTCCTCCTTAATCAACATTTTCCTACAATTCAACCGAAAATAATTTATCACGAAGATTAGAAAATTTTTCAACTAAAACTCTTTTCCATATTATCTATGACTACGTTTTGTATTTGAATTTCAATTATTTCCTCCAGAAATTATCACTTTCTTTCGCCTTCTTCCTTGTCAGTTTATGTACGTGCGCACTTCTTCCTCGAAACGCTTAAAAGTGAAATCACCTTTGCCTAATTCTTTACTCTGTTTGAACGAAGTTGGTAAAGATCATTTTGCTCGATGAAATTTATTCAACAACTTCCACGTGTTTCGGTTCTCCTAATTTTCCAGAAATGTCTGTACGTTGAAGGAACTCCGAATAGGTACATGTAGATTGAAATTAATATTGCAGAACGAAGTAAAGGAAGAAACTTTTCGCGTTGATAATTCGATCTTCGACAGATTTTTTCGAAGTTTTATGGTACTGTGAAAGATAGCGTGGACTTTTCTCGGAGAAAGCGTTTTCTTGCGTGAAGTTTTCTATTTTACACGGTAATCGTATGGTGGGAAGTGTGTCACACATGTCATTGCAAATACCCGTGGGATGGAGTGAGAGAAACTAGATTGTTTAGGGATTTCATGATAACCCGGTGGATGAACCACGCGACGACAGTGATATACGAGGCTTGTAAAGGGTGGGTGGTGGAATTCGCTCAATCTTTAGAGAACAGTGACATTGTCATAGCGGTTGTTAAATTGATTAGGGGAATAACGACACTTCCACAGTCAAGTATATCGCGAAATATTCTATAAATTATCAGTTATTTAACGGTGTGTCTCTCGAATAGAAAATTTCGCAGAATTAAGAAAAGAAAAAGGAAACTAGCATTGAAATTTACTGAAAAGTTTCGGCTTAATTGATATATTCTTTTTTAATCAATTAATACTGCAGTAAGAGTAATAAATATGTTCATAAAAGTTCCTTCAAATTATATTAGGAATTATTCTAATAAATTAAACCTGAACTAAATAAATTATCATTTTTTCGAAGAAATATTTCTTTTCCAAATTCAAGAGTACATAAACACTCGATTAAAAAAATAATCAGTGTACGTAACAAAAATTCTTCAATTCAGTGCAGAAACATTTGATTTACATAGTGAAATTTTTTACTTAATTTGAAGCCAGCAGAGGTACAAACTTTCTTTCTATCGTCTTTCATTCCACCACAATAAATTATTAAATCTATAAACCTTTTTTACATACTGTACTATCGCTGCATAATGAAGCAAACAAAGCAAGTAAATAGATCTGAAACGAAATTAAACAGCGTTCAGAATCACAGCTTCCTTCCCAAACCTCCAAAGTTCTCCAAATTTAATCAATTCCTCGCAAATTTAAAACTTCCCTTAAGACACAAAGACTCCCTCCTTCCATCGGACACACCCACACACGTTCAGCAGATATATTAGAATTTTCTAGAAATTTCCCTGCAGAACCGCACTCGTACCTTCCACGAAAGAAGAAAACGAAAAGTGGCAAAAACCGAGCTCTCGATTCCTCTCTCTCTTTCTTCGTCGGCGAACCACACGTTCCCTCCATTCAATTCCTCGATGGGGATCGTCAATTATTCCTTTGTTTTTCGTACGTGTTCGCCGTGAACCGCGAAACGGATCGAGCGAAACGGGTTTCGATTCCGAGAGGCGACGCCTAATTGGACGTCGCGGAAACCGGCGAAAATTCCATAAATTCCTCGTCGGTGTATAATCGACGAGGCGCCCGTGCCTCCAGGCGTCCGCAAACACCGTCGAAACTCCGCGCCGAGCCGCGAGGAGCTGTGCAAACATCGGCCAAACCAGACGAGGACAAAAAAAAAAAAAAGAAGGAAAAAATGCACAGCTTTACATATCGCTGACTCGAGGCTTCCCTCCCGAGGTGTCGCCGGGACGCCCGAGCCGGAAGCGTCTCGAGAAGTTAGACGACAATCCTAATTTTCAAGATTTTTCTGAAATCCCCGCACGCACCTGTTAACGCGATCCTTGCTGCCTGGATTTATCGGAAAGAAGCGGACACGCTTCGTATAATGATTTCGTTACCGTGCAAAGAACGTGTTTTTCTAAGAGAAATTGGGAGGGTAGAAGTGTGGTTTTGCTGAAATATTTGCTCCTTTTTTTTTTTAGTTGATTTTTGCCCTTTTCGGTGAAGTATTTTGTGAAATTTGTGTAGGGGTGTGCAACGTTTTAGCGTAAGTTGTAATTTAACGTAGATATTGCAAATTAGTGTTTAAAATATTTTCTTGCATTATCTATAACCCTTTGCCAATCTTAGCAAAGCTGAATTTGCTAAGTAACTTGTTAATTACAATTGCTGATTTTTATTTAAATTCATATTTTCATAGATATAATTTAAAAAATTCGAGCTAGATAGGCAATTCTGTTATATATAACTCATTATAATATTATTTCGCATATTATGTGCATTTTGTGTATTTTTGAGTCTTCAAATTTTCCGTAAATTTCCCTCAAACTCCGCAGTCCACTTATTATTATAGGAATAACTCTAAAATTATGTTTGTAGTCAAAGTTTAATTAATTTGTACACAAATAAATTCTCAATTTAATTTCTTTTCTGGGAGTAGCGTTAGCAAAATTTTTTTATCGCGAGCATTCTCTGTTCATTTGGTACATCATGTTTCTAAGCCGGACAGCAAGACGAATGTGGTCGCATTTGAATTTGCCAGAATTGTACGCTTGTTACAGTTAAACTGGTGGTTACTCTCAGCCAAGAAACATTTTTCCCTGTTTCACCAAGAATAAGTTACAACCCTGGTTCGTTGTAATTTACAGGATATTCGAGAATTAAATTACGAGGGATTTTTTTCCATGAAATTTCCTTTTAAACACTTTCACCGTCTCTTTCTCTCTGTTCAGGAAAACTGAATTTTTCCAGCAACAAATACGCGAACTCGTTTGATTATGTACTTGTTCAACGCGGAACGAACCGGCTTCTTTTGTAATTTTATTTCTCACCGAGATATGCAAATCCACTTTCGCGTTTCGAACGAAATCTAAAATTGCAAACAGAGCAGAACTCTGGATAAACAAGTTATAATGCACGGAGTTCGAAACTGGCTGGTATTAAAACAAATATTCGTGTAACTACAGTAAATTCTCTGCAAGTGTCAAATGCACGGAGTTCGAAACTGGCTGGTATTAAAACAAATATTCGTGTAACTACAGTAAATTCTCCGCAAGTGTCAGTCAGTTTGGATTCTACAAGTGTCGGTATAGATGGTCCTAAGCTGCGTCACTCGGTTTCTTTTACGAGATTTCACGGCTCGACAATTCATAATAGAAAAATATCATTTCTTTAATTTTACTTTTTTTCATCTGAAATTTTTTTTAACATGTTGGTGAGATTTTTCTGATGAAAATGACATCAAACATTCACTGTCACGCCAGACAGCGTGATCAGAAAAATCTCATCAATATATTAAGAAAAATTTCGGGATAAAAAAAAGGAAAATTAAAAAAGTTGGTATATAAATCGCTTGGTTACCTCGACTCACGTTTCATCCTTATCTTTTATTCGCTGTCCTTGTCTGCGTTCGGCAAACTACAAAGGCGGGCGCGAGGCTCGAAAACGTAGTCCCTGACTCTACAAGTGTCAGGTTTAGCTTCCTTGCGGACTGACACTTGTGGAGACTTTACTGTACTATTTGAATACGTTATAAAATCCGGAGGTATTGCAGAGTGTAACAATCGTCAATTAATCTTCTTTAAATTCCCAAATCAATCAAACGCAACACGTGTACTAAAAATTTTGTATATTTTTTTGTAACAGTTCTTTACAGACTGTCGATTACCGAAAATAAAATAAAATCGATCACTGAATATCTGGATATCTTTGAAATCATTATTAATAAAATCGTAATTATTCAGGTACCTATGAAATTGAAGGATTTTATACTTCAATGTTATAATTATCGACACGTAAAATTTTCAGAAGCGAGAAAACGAAGGTATACTAAGCTATCGTGCAATTATTGGTGCGAAATTATTATTAAGGAAAAGAAGACTAATTTTTATTTTCTATGTTATTATCTCAGTTTCTGAAACTTCGACCCTTCCATAATAATATTTCAGTATGAAACTCTTCGATTGTCAAAATTATTCCAATTTTCATTGACTTCTCTATTTTTAACCCTTTGCACTCGAAGGCCCCTTTTCCTATAAGGAAGTAGCAAAAATTAATGTAATTTTTTAAAACTAATATTTTTATTAGAAGTTGGTTCTTTCGAATTATTCCACTGCTGAGATCTCAAAACATGTAGTGAACAATTCACGGAGGTCCATAGGCTTGCTGTCTTGGAAAATATCATCCTTAGAATTGCCTCTAATTGCAAATATAATGTCGCTTCTTAGTCGCCTCTCGAGTGCAAAGGGTTAAATATTTTTTTAATGGTACACACGTACATCGTGGCGTTATTATCTCAGTTTCTGAAACTTTCACTCTTCTATAATAATACTGTAGCATGGAACCCTTCGATTGTCAAAATTACCGACTCACAAAACCCCCGCAAAATTCCGAATACACTCATCAACGAACATCCCCCTAATCGCAAAATCCTCCCCGACAAAATCAACCGCAAGCGACACAACTCGCAAAATTGGCCGAGCGTAATTCGCGGACGGAAAATTCGTTAATCGCGGCGTATTTTACGCGCGACGAGTCGCAAACCGGGAAGTTCGCAGTTTCGACTTGGACTTCGGGACGACTCGCGCCGGAAGCTACACGAAACTGCATAATTCCAGGGTAGTTTGATCAAATTGTTAGTCCGCCGGAGGACAGGCGCTAATAAATCTTGAACGAGTTAATCCTCCCTCCCTTTCGGGACAGGGGTGGAGCAGGAGGATGGAATACGGAGCTGGTGTTACGAGGGTCCGGTGCCAACTTGCAAAATATATTATTCGAAAGCCACCGCTCGGGAAAATGGATGTTTCCTTAGCACAGTTTTTCGTTCCGGTACGGTCCGCCGTTTCGATAGCTTCGCCCGCGAGTTTTCCAGTTTCGTGGGTAACTAGACCGGGAAAAGGACCTGACCGCGATTATTTTCGCGATGACGCCACCCATCCTGACCTTGATCTCTTTATTACAAGGTTTCTTTTATCTTCGTGCATGACTTTTTACTGGGTTTTGTTTTGTTTTTTGTCGGTGGAATTAGTTTGGGCTGAGAGGATATGGGAGTACTGATTTGTTGGTAAAAATGATATTATTTCAGTATTAATACGTTTATTGTACAAGAAGTATTGACATGATTACAAAGTTAATATAATTTAATTGGCCAAAAGAAGAATGAAAAATTACTCTTTATATGCGTTTAACCCTTTGAGGACGATAGACTCGTATATGCGTTCACAGAACAGCACAAACGCAACCAATAATTCACATATTTTTAGGCAATAGAAACTCGAGTATTTAAGAGAAATGAAATTTTGAAATTATTTAACTGAAAACAAATTGGAATAGTGACCGGAATAGTTACATGTTCACGAGTAATCAGTATTTCAATATGGTATGCAATCCTCCGTCCGCAAAGGGTTAAGTAACATTTCAAATATAGACTCTTTTTCTGTATTGAACAGACGTATTTATGTACATTTGTTTAAACTATCCTGATTCATAGGTGACTCAGTGGATAGTGAACCTGTTAATAAAGTGAATTTTTAGTTGAAACATTTTAATTCAGCGTAGCGGGTTACTTTAACCATTTAAAATTGATTTATAAGATCCTACGTTTTTGTGAATATAGATCCTCGAACATAGTAATCGATAGATTTCTATCAAGAGGTTCACATACATTCAAGTTATAGATCGTTTTGTAGGAAAAGAGATTGCAATAAGAGGAAGACACGAGTGTGCGTTAGTTGCTCAATAAGCGCTTGTCTGATCAGTAACGTGTTGATTCTACTTACGATATGGCGTGCAGCAACTCCTGCCTTTGTTTTTCCTTAACTTTCACACTTCCTCCTTCTTCGAGCGCGACTTGCAGTTCTCTCTGAAGAACTGCTAATTTCCTGCGTTCGCCTTCTAGAAGCAAGGAAGTAACCTACAACAAAGAATTCCATGGATCGTTTAAAACCTGAAATATCGAAACATTTGAGGAAAATAGCTACTGTCGCGAGCGTATTGAAAATCGTATAACTATGTGCAAACGATACACCGAGAAGGATTTGCTATTAAAATGAATTAAAGCTACAAATTTCACGATTAATTTGATCGCAGAATTTAACACCTTGTGGGATTTTGTGTCCTGCTTTCTGAAATACCGATCGTGTAAAAGAGAAGAAAAGACAGGTTTTGTTACGTTCACTGCGATATAGAGCGACGAGTTTCGAAATTATTTACAGTCCAACCATGAAAGATGGTAAAGTTGATAGGTTTAAAAGATTCTCTTTTGTGAAAGCTGCATATTTATGAAGATATCGTCCGGCAAAGCAAACTTGAAAGCTTCAGGCTGGCTTTGGGGTTTAGAAGTATGTGATGTTGAAGTTGCGACGTTTTGTTGTTAATCAGTCAATCAGGATAGGAAGAAAGATCGAGAATATTAATGAGAGCATGATCAGAAATGAGGTATTAGCAGGAAAGTTGATTTTTAAGATAGAAATTCTTTGAATTTTTCGCTTTTAATAATAGTTATTGTAAATTAGAGTGCACTTGCATGCAGTAGGCAGTTTAAAATTGATGCTTATAATAAACTTTTCATAATGTAGATAGTAAAATTAAGTTTCTGGTTTATATTCCAGTACTTTAATTGTTAAATATCAATTTATGTGGTAGTTTAAAATTATAGGTAGTATTAAACACATTTGTTGCACGATTTAACTTGATAAAACAGCCTGATTTATTGACTTCGTATTGAATTAACAATTGCATGCAGCTGCCACATTAAAATTAATATTTATACTAAATTTTTCGTTCTTTCACTATGATTTACAGGAGCAGATGGAAAAATAACATTTCTACTTCATTTTTAAGTACTTTGACTATAGAATAATTAGTATTTCCTGTTAAATAACAATTTAGATGATTGTTTATGATTATTGTAAGTCTTAAATAATATTATCGTAGGCTTTAACTCGATAAAACCGCTAAATATGTTAAATTTCCTTTAAATTAACCGTTGCATTCAATGCATTCGTCGAAAATTGTTTATAACTATTATTAAATATTAGAAAAATTAATGTTCTTCGCGTACGAATTACAGATGGACCTTTCAGGACATCCTAGAAATCAAGGAAAGGACTTGAACATCGGGAAAACTGAAGAAATGCAATTATTTGTTAATAAATCAATTATTTATTGTAAAATTATTGTACAAAATGTATTTTACAAAAGGTTACAGTATACAAATATTGTTTTACAGCATTTTACAGTCTATTTGGTTCTCCCTTACACACCAAACTCCTTTTCTTTTGCGAAAACCCATTGTTTAAACAATATTTCATTGCAAAATTAACTAAACAAAGTCCAGGAAACCACCAGGAAGGCGTACATATAAAAAAAATCGAAAAAATCCCGAAATTCGAGCGAAAACTACGAAAATTAAGGTAAGATTTCGAAAATCGCGCGAATATACTCGTTCGGTGCTAGAGTCCTCGAGAATTCCTGGAATTTTCGTCATTTCTCGGAAATGACCAAATTTCCAAGAATCGAGGCGATTCCAAGAATTGACCAATGGGCCTTCGAAAATTTAAGTCCTCGAGAATTCCTGGAATTTTCGTCATTTCTTGGAAATGACCAAATTTCTGAGAATCCAGTCACTTCTAGGAAGAGACCTCCTATCATATCATGTTCGCCTATTAGAAAGTCGATTTTCAGCCAAAGGG